AATGCGAGGAACACAAATTCACTCCTAGATCGAGTCATCTAGACTCGACCAGAGTGTGGGGACTAGATAATATAGGATATTATACCCGCAAGGTTAAACCGGTCTGCTGACCGATCGAGGAGGTCATACCATGGGAAGTCGAGGAAATCGAGTAGTTAACTAGTCGACGAACCTATCCTTCGACCAGATGGACGGTGGAGCAATGAAGTCGACCTCGATCGGTCGACCACTTTGTGGACTGAACACCTCATAGATCGGCCTATTCACAGGCGCGTGAGAGAGCCTATAACCGAATTTCAAGACAATATTTACCCCATGTTCAGGGGAACACGTGTCGAGAATGCAGTGGTTGATAGCGATAACCACATCTGACAGCCTACCCCATGTGCAGGAGGACACGCTTCCAAAGAATATTGGTGCAGGCGATAGTGGCGACGGCTATGTCTGACACACGCGTATTTTGTGTACGGACGGGCAGTTAGGGCAAACAGTTCACCAAATCCGGGCAGCCCTAGGTCAGGTATCTCACCTCTATATAAAGGGGGTGAGCCTTTCTTCTTCAACATGATCATTCCATTACTTACTCTTGAGAATTGATTGAATATACACTTACTTAAGCTTTGGAGGCTCTTCACCGGAAAACCCCTCCGGTGTGAGAGTTCTTTGTAGGTGCACGACGTTCAACCGGCGAGAAGGAAGGCGATTATTCAAGTTCCAGCCGGTCGGGAAGCTTTGTGTTACCAATGTATTTATTGGATATGCGTACAATAGTACAACACATTGATTTCTGGTTCATAAATCAGATAATCCAGAGGTATCTGTGGGTACCACGATTGAGTCGAGGAATGCTATATTCTTTGAGAGTATTTTTCCTCTAAAGGAAAGGGTTGAATCTAGTTCTATTAAACGAACGTATGAAATTTCTAGTGGTTCTGTCAGAGGGTACTAATGAAGAACCGAGATATAGTAAAAGGGTAAAATTGGTTAAATGTTTGAACCTGGTTTTATTACGTACATGTTGGACGATGAACCGAGTTCCCTTAAGGAAGCTCTGTCCAGCCCAGATGGACCACTCTGGGAAGATGCTGTAAATAGCAAAATCGAGTCAATTATGCAAAATCATACTTGGGAGTTGGTTGATCTGCCTGATGGTTGTAAACCTTTAGGATGCAAGTGGATTCTAAAAAGGAAATATAAAGCTGATTGATTGATTGATAAGTTTAAAACACGATTGGTGGTGCAAGGCTTTAAACAAAAGGAAGGATATGATTTCCTTGATACATATTCACATGTTACGCGTTTAGCATCGATAAGAGTGCTTCTCTCGATTGCTGCTTTGCACAATCTTGAGATTCACCAAATGGATGTTAAGTCTGCATTTTTGAATGGTGAATTGGAAGAAGAAATATACATGGAACAACTTGAAGGGTTTGTTGCACTTGGATAAGAGAGAAAGGTGTGTATATTGATCAAATCCT